TTTGAACTTGGACTTAAAGCCTCCAAATTGTAAGAATAAACTCCTGTTTGTTAAGGCCATCCCATTTGTGGTATATTTCTCATCAGAGTGGCACTAGGTAACCAGAACAGTTCATTATTGTAAAAAGTCAAGGAAAGGTTTATATATGGAAGAAAACTTTCTTTCTTTGTTACCAGGAATGAGAGGGAAGAGGAGAGAAAATTCCTAGATAGGTTAATATATATATATGTGGTGTAGTAAGTTTCATGGTATGGCTTTTCTAGCCATAGTCCTTGCAACTCCCACCAGATTACTGGGTGGGACCATGGGACCATGCAAATATGTGTCAACTTGGCTGGGCAGCTGGTAGTAGTTATTTCCTATAATGAGACTGGCAATTAACTCCATAGTGGAATTTTCTGTGAACAACTGAGTAGCTGCTTTTAAACTCCTGATTGCTAAAGTTATCCACATGGGATATTTCTTTTGGGGCAGCATGAATTGATCTTCTGGGGAAATTCCCTCTCTCTCAGATGTGTAGAACTCTGATGTTGGGATTAGTTAGTTTTGCCATTCTGCCAGGCTTAAAATGAGCCCTTCTAGAGGCAGAGGGGGAATCTCACTGTCAGGTGGGAGAGATGCCCAGGTGAGAGAGACACCTGGCTGAAAGAGTTGCCTGGCTGAGAGAAACGCCTAGCTGAGAGACAGTGGCCATGGAACCAAGAGGTATGGGACAGAGTGGTAGGCATACCTGGCCCACAGAGGCAGAGGCCGGGCCAAGAGGCCAAGGGCCAGAGAGGTGTGTCTAAGGGCACAGCAGAGGGGAGACTATCCTGATCGAAGAACTGTATCCTGAGCATGTTCCTGAACTTGAATTATAGCCTGTTGCTTCCCTAATAAACCCTATAATCTGGGAGTTCTGTGTGGCCACTGCAGCAAATTATCAAACCCAGCAAAGAGGTGGTGGGTGCTGCAGGAGGGAAGGTTGGTGTCAAGGTTTGTAAGTGCGCTGGAGGGTGGTGGCATGTCTGGCCTCATAGGTACAGGCCTTGGGCTGCTGATGGTTAATCTGTCTTCCTCTTGTGTAGTTAAAGGAGGCCATAAGATGCTGCCTCCCTGCCCCTTTAGCAATATATATATATAGAGAGAGAGAAACCAAAGATTATTTAGTGGCTAGCAGGGTAGGAGGGAGGGGAAAAGGGGAAGTTTTGTTTGTGGTGCATTGAGTTTATGCTAATGGTGGTGAAATATTTTGGAAAAGGATAGCAATAAAAGTGGCACAACATAAAAACTGTCATCAATATTCCTGAGCTGTAAACCTAGAAGTTGTTATGCTGGTGAATGTCTTGGTGTGTATGTTTTCACCACAACAAAAGCAAATAAAATAAAATAAAATAAATAATAATGAGTGGGTTGTTACAGAAATCATTGACTTTCAAGGACATGTTTGTGGACTTCACCCTGGAGGAGTGGCAGTAGTTGGACTCTGCTCAGAAGACACTCTACAGGGATGTCATATTTGAGAACTACCGCCACCTGATCCCAGTGGGTTAGTCCCCAGTATGACTTTGGTGCTCTTAGTAGTGTCTTTTTCTCACAGCTGATCAGGGAATCTACTTCCCTAGTGATGCTGCCTCAGAAACACAAGGTGGGGTCGCTAGGAGTCGGATCTGACTTGACGGCAATGAGTTTGGTTTGTTTTTATTTGGGGGGGGGGTTAAGGTCAAGGGCTTTTGAAACCCTCGGTGAGCTTGGGCTTAAGGCTCAATGTCAGGAATTCTTAAGCCCTCTTGAACACTGGTCAGCATATTGATACTCTCACCTTCTATGTGAATGTTCTGTATTGAGGTACAAATAGCCATCTTCACTGGGCTACAAGGATGGACCTCAGTTCTGGAATGCCTGCCTCCATCATTAATAACAAAGTCCTATGTTGTTTTCCCTGAGCAGGATATCTAGTTGCCTAGTCAGAGGTCATCTTCAGGTTGGGAAAAGGAGCAGAGGCCTGGATGGCACATGGAGAAACCCCCATGTGGAGCTGTCAAGGTGAGCACCTCCTAGGCAAGTGAAGCTGGCAGTAAATAGCACCTATTTGGTGGATGGCTGGTGAGTCTCTTGGATGTGTTCAGGATCTCTTTTTCTCAGAGCCCTCAGATTTTAGGAGATGACTCAGAATTGATGAATAGAGCTATTATACTATCCAAACAATGCCACCACCTATCACCCTGTTAGTCTCCATGTTCTTTGTGTGAGGTTTAGACAGAGGATGGCCACTATTGTTCTTTAGATTTCATTTTTACCTTACAGCATTCTGGGTGGCTAGTGACAAACAAGTGCTAGTCTTGTTTTCATTCCTTTTCCCCTCTCCTCTCTGACAGCTTTTAGGATTTTTTTTTTCTCTGTTCTATAACTTTTACATTTTCACCAGAATATGTGTACATGTCAGTGTTTCCTCTTTACATGGAATGTGGTGGTCCCTTTAACTATGAAACTTTGAGTCTTTTTTTCACTGTAGGGAAACTTCCTCACATGGTTTATTGGAGAGTTTTGATAGTGACCATTAACTTTATCAAGTCAAGTACTCACTGTGATCTTTACCCTCTCACCTTGTGTCTAAGAGGAGCTCTGGTGGTGTAGGGCCTAAGGCATTTGACTGCTAACCAGAAGGCTGCCGGTTCAAACCCACCAGTCACTCCTCCCGGCAGAAGGAAGAATGCTCAGTCTGCTTGGGGATACCGCCTTGAAAACCCAACCTACTCAAGGGCAGTGAGTTTGTTTGTGTGTGTGTGTGTGTCTAAATAGGGTAAACCTTAAATCTTTACAGTTTTCTCTTATTTCTTCTCAGACTTTCATATATCTGACTTGATTCCTCCTGATACAAGATTCTGCCTCGTATCAGTATCAGATTTCACCTTTTAAAAAATATTTTGGTTTTTAAAATTAAATTTTATTTATTTAATAAATAAATAAGTTGACTTTTAATTAGGTTTATACTTATTTAATAAATAAATAAGTTGAATGGACTTTACTCTTCAGGTGGAATGATTTAGTGAGCAGTATTTCAGTCCTGGGCAGATCTACATTTTCCTTTGTTTTGTGATTTGATTTTTTGTTTTGTTTTTCCCTTTGGGCTCCTTATGGAGATCCAGAAACCTCAGATATTGGTCTCCCACTCTTCTCTCCCCACTTGTAATACCCCCTCAGTAGGCAAACCCCAGAAATGTCCATGTAGAGCCTAGTTACTGCTCAAAGTGTGTTGCATGGTCCGGCAGCCTGGGCCTCACCTGGGCCCTTAATAGAAATGCGCAATCTCAAGCCCCATCCCAGATTTGCTAAATCATAATCTGCTTTTGATCCAGATCCCCAAGGACCTGTATGCACATTGAAGTTTGAGAAGCACTGCTTTTTAGAGATAAGTTTCAGGACTCCAGCTGTAGTCAGATGCTGGTCCTCCTGCTCCATGAGTGACTACCCTAATGACTCTGAAAGCCTACCTTGCTTGGCAAACTCACCTACTCTCCTCTTAGAGCTCCTTTCTGCTGGTGCATGTGTCTCCTAACTCTTGGTAACTTCTCCCAGAAACGTTTTAGGTTATAATTTCCTCCTTATTGAGCAGTGCAATCCCTTCTCATTAGATCATGTCTGTTCTGCTGAGATTCTTATTTCCAGTGATACCTTGGAATTGTCATGACTGTGAGTGATTACTCTCATTTCAGTGGTACTCTGGAAGGCAGAAAAAGAAAACTCAGGGAAACTGTCTACCCTCTTGAGTCAGAAGTCTCTTACATTGAAAAAAAAATTCATTTTTATTAAAAGTAATACCTGTACATGTTCAATTGAATAATCTAGAGCAGTCTATGATAAAAAGTAATCTTAGATGCATTCCTAGTCCCACACCCCAAGGGCAGTCACTTCTAAAAGTTTCTGTTTTTAATTCTTCTGGGGAGCACCCCCACATATCCCAGGAATACCTTTATTAGCAACTCATGAGCCTTTCAATTTCTTGAGTTTTCTATTTTATTTCTCCTCTATGAAAAATAAGGATTTAGCTCACTCACACTCTGGCCCTCTGCTCTTCACAATGTTTGATTGTCAAATTTTTATTTTTAGATCTTTCATTGGATACAATTGTAACTTTAAATTATATGCTTAAGCTTCTGTTTTCACATTACATACTGTAACTTTCTTTTTTAAAACTAACTAAGTGCCTATGACTTATTTCTCCACCTAGGACATAATAGAAGCAGCAGTCAAGAAATTGGACGATGTATTGCACTGGGTAAATCTGTTGCAAAAGACTTCTTTAAAGTGCTGAATACCAAAGAAGTCTCTTTGAAGACTAACTCAAGCCACAGTCTTTTCAATTGCCTCATATGAATGTGAAAGCTGAGCAATGAATAAGGAAGACTGAAGAAGAGTTGATGCTTTTGAGTTGTGGTGTTGGTGAAGAATGCTGAAAGTACCATGGACTGCCAAAAGAATTAACAAATCTGTCCTAGAAGAAGTGCAGCTGGAATGCTCCCTGGAAGCAAGAATGGCCAGACTCATAACATACTATACAAAACATTGTT